TACATTGGTCTCTTCTAGTGTATTTCAGAGTTAGACACGGTATACACTCATGTGCACACACGTGTGTGTATCTTGACACCTCAGAATCAGACAACTGAGCAACATCATGGCTCTCCTTACTATCTACATGACCATCATGATTACTGACAGTTACTTAACTCCCCTTTGTATCACCTTTATTTTTAATCTGCAAAATGGGGTCATGAGTTTGACTTTGTGGTAACAAAGTGTTGAGACAGTTCAGTGAAATCATTGCAAATGCAATGTTTACCATATAGTAGCTGCTCATAAGCAGCAGCAATTACTGTGTTAGCAAACCATGGCAAAAATAGATTGGAGTAGTTTGTGATATTACAAATATAAATAACAATAATAACAATACCACATGTATTCTGGTTTACAGTTTACATTCATAGGCTTCTCTTAAATAATAAGTTTTTGATGATAAATGGAATAAATATTCAATATGCACTCTTCTAAAAATCCACTAAAGAGAAAGTTATTGAAGAAAGGTTCTATTAAAATAACTTTTACAATCATTCAATTATTTCCTTTTGTTAAGAGTTTTAATTCTATTTATGTTTACTGGATAGGGTCTTGAGACTTAAAAATATGTGCCGTTATTCACTCAACTAAAATAGGCAGATTAGTGTGAAATGATGTGTAAAATTTTGGAAAAAAATTATGTTCTAAAAGAAACTGAATTTCTGTCAAGCAGCATTGATTAATTTTATTTTACTTTCTTCACCCAATTTAGTCACAATATAAAAAAACTCCTATAAATTAATTGTAGAAAGACATAGTAAAAGAAACTTTTCTAACAAATAAATCTTTAAACAAAAATTTATAACTCTCTTGGGAAGGTAATTTGTGTTACAATTAAACAAATTAAAGATGATCCATAGGGTCAATTTCATGGTCTTTAATAAGAGGCACAGTTTTGTATCTCACCTGTATTGATCTTGCCAACAGATTGCCCTCAAAATCTTTCTCACCTTAGTAACTCAAGTGGCTGTTTTACAGGAGTCATAAGAAGTTGTTTTGTTTATCAGATAACAAATCCCAAGGATGATTTTCTAATCTAGTGAATGTAAACTAGGTCATCCTCAGATATTAAATATCCTTTCTAAAAAATATAGTTTGTGTTACCTAAACTTAAATGTAAAATGTGCATAAGTGTATAATTATCAATCCAATGAAGGATGTAAAATATTATTTTAGCATATCTCTGAATGTTCTTAAGTTTAAGACTTTAAGCAGCACCAGATTGGACCTGGTGGAGTGGAAGGAAGGGAGAGGGGATAGGAATGGGAAAGTCAGTAGAATGAATCAAACATAACTTTCCTATGTTCATATATGAATACATTACCAGTGTAACTCCACATCATGTGCAACCACAAAAATGGGATGTTATACTCCATGCATATATGATATCTCAAAAGACATTCTACTGGGGGGAGGCAGGGAGGGGGCCTGGGATTTTGGCTCAGTGATACAGTGCTTGCCTAGCATGTGTTAGGCACTGGGTTCAATTCTCAGCACTACATTGAGTAAATAAATAAATTAAATAAAGATATTAAAAAATACATTCTACTGTCAAGTATGACTAAAAACAACAAATAGAAAAAAGAGTTTCAGTAGTACTGTTTGGATTAGAGAAAGGGAAATGATGGAAAGGGAGGGCGAATGGGAATAGAAAAGAGTAGAATGAATTGGAAATTACTTTCCTGTGTTCATATATGAATACCCAACCAAGGTAATTCCACATCATGTACAAACCAAAGAATGAAAAATTGTACTCCATGTATATATAATATGTCAAAATACATTCTATTGTCATGTAACTAAAAAGAACAAACAAAAATTTTTTAAAAAGAGTTTAAGTAGTACTGAATCATTATTTTACTTCTGTTCTTCTTTGGAAAGAAAAAATGTAACACGGAAGGCTATCTTCAAACACTTTGTGAAACAAGGTAAAACATAATTAGAGTTTATATGTACAAAAATTACAGGATGGGCTTTAAAACATAAGTATATAGTGGGGCATAAAAATTAAATAACATCTTAAATATAAAATCACAAATCAATATAACTTTGCTTTTGTCAATGAATATTCATTAATTGATTTAAGTTATTATTTAATATTAATATTAATTTAAGATTCAATTTATTGATTAGCTATTCTCTCAAATCATTTGCTTTTGGACATGTGAAGATATAGAACACAGGAAAATTTACAAGCTCAGTTTTACATGAAAAGTTTGGCAGGTTAGAAGAAAAAGAACAAGGCTGAGATTCAAGCAGAAAGCACATATGTTAGCTGGGTAGATTTAAAAGAACTAAGTTCTTTTTTAAGATAACGAAGACACATGATGAAAGCTACACACAAATTTGGGGAGCTAACTCTACCTCCTTGATTCTTTGCTCCCAGAACCTCCACCATCAGTCCCTGATATGAAACAAATTGAGATCTTTGAGTTCTTGGAAAACAACGAAGAACTTTTCAGCTCTACTGAAGGTCAGGCCCCCGGGATATGTGCAGGTAGTTATTATTTTCCAGTCCTGTCTAATGTATTATGAGTCTACTAACATGAAAAATTATAGATCTCTATGATGAAGAGTTAATACCCAAATGACTCAATATTTATTTTTAATGAATTTCTGTAATACAACCAAAAAAATACTATTATGTGCTATTGCTATTACAAACAAGTGTTTTGAAGTCATGAATTCCAGAATCATAACACACAAATGAAAAGTAAAAATCATGGAAATGAATATTTTCAATTTTGCTATTACTAGAGTTAATACATAATAATTTTCTATGGGGCAAAAAATATTCAAAGTATTATTTTACTTCTATAGCCTTTTACAAACCATGTACTATATAAATAAATAGACACAGAACTAGAAAATAAATAATATGGAGTCAAGGTCAAATAGGGCAGCCCCTGGATTATAAATACCCAATAATCAGCAAGCTATAAAGTCATTGCCCCACATGTCCATGATTTGAAATTTTTCTATAGCTGCAAGATGATAGTCATTATAAAAAGTCAAAACAAACAAAAGGAGTTTTACAAACTTTACAATTTTTTAAAAATAATGGCTGTATTCAGTGTTCAGAAGTGGAGGATGGGGTAAGTTGTGAACACACACTGAGCTTAGGGAAACCAGCCTCACTATAGAAGATCCACTGCCCAGAACAGTGACCTCCTTGATAGAGAATACTTTCTCCACTCTGTGTGTGTGTGTGTGTGTGTGTGTGTGTTTGTGTGTTTGTGTGTGTGTGTTTTATATTTCTAAAGATCTGCATACAAGGGATTGTGGGGGCTTAATAAAGATTCCTTTAAAGAAAATAAAAATGTTCAGCAAGTATTATAGTCTCCTTGACATTTACAGTTTAGTATGAACAGATTCAACTAAAATTGTTTAAATCATTCAAATTAATTGTACCCAGAGATCCAAAATTATCCTTTGTACATTTTCAGGTGTTCAGGAAAGGCCCTTGGGCTCCCAGTCTGTAGAGGGGTCACAAGGAACTGAAAAAGGAGTGCAGAAATGGAGGCAAGAGGACATACTAAAATTCAGTTGGCCATGAGGAAAAGAGAAGAAATTTTCGTTTACTATGTAGCATGACCCCTTCAGGTCCAGAACATACCTAGTATCCTAGGGTATTATCTAGCAATACTCTACTGTTCTATGATATGGTTAGCTTTGGCAGGTCATGGTGGGAATTTCTTAATCTCTTATATATAACTTCCTAATGTAAAAAAAGATAACCTATATAATATACAGTCATTTTACATGTACGTCTTTGGTACACTATCCATTTATAAATGGGAACAGACTCTATTAGAGTATAAACAAAGATCAGCATTCAAATGTTTAAAAAGTAAATTTTTGTATGCTACAAAGCAAGTTTTATTGTGGTTTAGTGATATGCTAAATAACCTTAATTTTATAACATTTGGAAAGACCCTGCTTATCCTGATGACACCTATTTCTAAGGCACATATTAGATATTTTTAGACATGCTGGAAATACACTTGCAGAGTCAATCTATTAGGTAAAGACTAACTTTGAAAAGTGACAACAACAAATGATTCTTTTTGATAATCAAGACCTTTAATGTTATATTTTAAAAATTAACTAATTTTTAAAAATTACTCTTTCTTAAAATGTCAAGAGAACTGTGTAGTACTGTGTAATAATCTTGAATTTATACGCATCACATTCTGTTGGATCTTATAAGAAAAATTATTAACTTCTTAAGACAACTTGTTAAAACAGCCTGATGATAGCTTTTACTAAGAACTTAATGAGTAACTTATACACAAGTTTTAAAATGTGCCAATATTTCAAATAATTCACAATTCTTTTAAAAAGATTTAGGATTTTTAAAAATCAAGCACTTTAGTATTTCCCATACATACCAGTGACCATATTTAGTACACACATTTAAACTTCTCCTTCTGAAGGTAATTTGTTGATTTGCATTTAGTTTTTAAATACTAATCAATTATAAATACTAAAATGTTATATACAGTTTATAAATTTAACTTTATACTAAAATAGGGAGGTTTAAGAGATGCTCTCAAAACTGACATAAACAATATCAAGTTATTATAAATGTAATTAAACTTGTTATTAAAAAAGTGGACATTTTGAAACAAATATGATGTATAAGAAATCTATCACATGAAATGAATTTTTAAACAAAATGTAAAACATAATGTGTAAAAATATTTGCCTCAGGAAGAAAATCTTGTTGAACATTAGAGTCCGAGGTTCATATTGAACTCAAAATATTAGGAAGATTAAGTGATTCTCTGAACACCAGTGAGAAGTGTGTGGAAGACAGAGGTCACCCTTTGAAAGAAGATCTCTGTGACCTGTGTAAACTGGAGCCCCACAAACACTTCCAACAAGCATAGGTCAGGGTGGGGTCATGGCTCCAGGCCCTCTGGACCACTGTTCGCCCAGTGGAGTGTGCTCACCGCGTTAATCTCTCATCCTTCAGCTCCAGGTCTGCCACTGTGATGAGCTGATCCAGCTTGAATTTAGTGTCAATAATTTCTGCATCCCGAGGAGAGTATGTACCACCTTCTTTCTGCTTCTGTCGAATTCTAAAACAAGTACAATAAAGTCCAAGAAAGGAATATCTTAAAAAGCATAAAAATTAGGTTTAGTTTTCCTTTCAAAAAATTGTATTGGTGCATTATAATTATACATAATAATGGGATTCATTGTTATAGTATTACATATTCATACATGTACATGATAATCATTTGGTCGATTTCATTCCCCAGTACTTCCCCTTTCTCTCTGTTCTTATTCCCAGTCCCCTTTCCCTACTGGGTTTTTTTTTTCTATTAGTTTTCTTTATAAGTGAAGACATTTAATCAGATCATTTCTTGTTAGAATCACTTCTCAGAATATGTGGCAATTTTAGAACTATTCAGTTTTGTTTTGTCTGTTTTAATTCCACAGAACATTTTCTACTAAAGACTTTTTAAATATAAAAATATTGAAACAAATTGTTTGGTTTACATCCACAATTTAATAAGACTTGGTTGATCAAGGCCTGAACAACTGGCATATTTGAAATAGATGAGTCCGGGAGACTGAGGCTATGACTAGTTTCTTCTCACTCTAGCTGTCTCACTGATTTGCCATGAAAAGAAAATATGTTAAAGTGGAAATAGCTCAGTACTATTAATGTCAGTGCTAAATAAATCCATTGTTTTTATATAATGAAACATTTTTACATGCATGCAAATACATATAAATGATTTTTAATTGTCTCACTGAATTTTTATGAAAATATTATGAAGAATATTATCTTTATTATAATCAGAAAACTCAGGTTCAAAATGAAGTCATATGAATCTGACAGCCTTTTCATTGATCATTTATAAATAATATTGATATTATGAGGTAATATGTAGCTATTTTATCAGCCACATAATTAACATTCATTATTTATTATGTATTACATGTTGATGAAGAAATAGAAATTATAAAACATGGTCGCTCTCTTCAAGGCACTAAGGACCACTGCCCTTATGGATTTCAGTCCTGCATTATTATTATTTCTTCTGGAAATCAAGCCCACCTGGATGAGTTCTCACTGCCTCTGAAGTGAAAACTCTCTCCATCCCTTTGGTTTAGGATTCCAAGAAGCTCCAGCCCACAAATCCCATCCAACAAGAATTAGATACTTCTACAAGCAATTCTAGTCTGCCTATCCTCCAATAATGATGGATAACTTCTACAAAAGAGCTCCCTGTCCTCTGCCCTGTTTGCCCACTGATAGGTTGCACATGACAGCATTAGTTTGGGACTTCTTTTAGTCTTAGTTCCTTTACTGTCCTGTCCCTCAGACTAAGGAGAGTAGTTGCTTTCTTGCATTTGCTACTTCTAGGCTCCTTAGAATTCTCTTTTACCCACTTTTAGTAGTTTACCATTTCTTTTATTTAATATTTTTCACATTAAATTTTTCCCATTCAGATGACAGGAATTCCTTCCTTAGTCAATCTATGCTGCATACGTACTTCAGAACATCATAGTACACATGATAAATGAATAAAAAGATTTTTTTTCTGTCAATTTAAGAAAACTAAAAAGTAAATGTTTCCCATTCATGTAACTACTGAGGATTCTGTCTCTTGATTAGACTGTGATTGATATAATGCCCATAAAGCATCCTGGGAACGTGAGTACAAACAAATCTTACCTTGCAAATGCAAATATGGCTGTTCCAAGAAGAATTATTGAAAGGATACACAATGTTACTGAAAGAATGACCTCTACAGTTCTTTCTGAAAGTCCTTCACCTGGAAAAGAGGGGGCAACATTATCAGTAAACATTGTCATAGAATACTATTTTGGGTTTCAAATCACAAAGAAAGATATTTTTGTTATATTGCTCAAGAATACTAGTAAAAAAAAAACTGCTTATTCTCTTTTCCTAGATCATTTAATTTGAGGGCTCAATCCTTGGTCCTTTCCTCTTTCTAAACTCACTCCTTTGTAATCTCATCTAACCTCATGGTTTTTACTTTTTACCTGTATGATGATGACTAGGATTTTAACCTATCAAATGCCATTATTGTATAACCAATTGCTTACTATATAAGTTTATTTATAAGTATAACTAAAATATCAAAATTATTATGTGTGAAGCTGAGCCCCCACACTTTCTTCTTTTCAACTGCATCCTTCCATCTCTCAGAAGAAATTTTATTACTCCTGTTGCTCAGGGTTAGGGTTAGAAATATATATATATATATTGTAAAATATATAAAATTCATGAGGAAATTCTGTTGCACTGTATTCAAAGTATGTACAGTATTTACTATATGAATGCAAGGAGCCTTGGAGAGAGAGTAATTCCAAAGTAGGAATAGGAGTAAAATAGATTCAAAATATATAATGGTACCATAAAGCCAGGAAGCTAACAAAGGCTAATAGCATGAAGTGAATAAAAGATCGGGGCTGTGGTTGTGACTCAGTGGTAGAGTGCTTGCCTAGCATGTGTGAGGCACTGGGTTTGATCCTCAGCACCACATAAAAAAATGAGCAAATAAAGGTATAAAAAAATCATCTTGAAGGGGCTCCTAATGGCCAAAGAGATAATGATTTAATATGTTAAAGAATAAAAACTGAAATTTTTAAAACAGGTTGAATATATTTTAATGAATGATTTTATATTTTAAAAATAATTTTAAAAATCATTTTTAGAACATTCATATTATCAATAAGAGAAAAATAAATAAAAATACTGATTTGTAAGATTTAATTATGGCAACACCATTTTCTTACTATAAATAATTGTAATCAACTCTGATTAAAATTTGTAATTTTATGGTTCATATGAACTGTATTTTATGGATTCTTTTTTTTTTTAAGAAAATAGCCCTAGTTAAGAAGATAAATCTCTTTGTTTGAAGAGAATTCTACTTAATAAATGTAGAAAGAATAAAATTAAAGAAATGCAGAGGGATAAAATTTTAAAATGACCATTTCATATTCCTAATGAAATAACTGATTCAGGTAACAATCATAAATGCATTTTAAAATGATTAAGAGAAAGGTTGATAGGGAATTAAACCATATCACTGAAGAGGTAAAATACTTGAGAATCTGCCTGAGTGACCATTTCATTCTCTGCAAGGGTTTGCTCAAACACCTTCTCAATGACTACTTGCTATGGACTGAACACTTATAACCCCCAAATTCATATGTTAAAGTGCTAGCCACCAGTGCGGCTGGATTTGGAGAAAGGAAGAAATTAGTTTAAATGACATAATAAGGGTGGGGCTCTGATCAGATAGAATGAGTGTCCTTGTAAGTACAGATGCAAGAGAGTTTACATTATTGTGCTTATTCTCTCTCCTTCCTTCTTCCACTCTCCTTCCCTCTTTGCTCTCTTCCTCTCCCTTTCTACTTCCACACTTGTACCAAGTAAATGCCATGTGAGGACACAGAAAGAAGGCATCCATCTGTAAGTCAGAAAAAGGACCTCACCAGATACCACATGTGCTGGAACCTTGATCTTAGACTCTACATTGTAAGAAAATAAACTTCTGTTTTGAAGACACCTGGTCTATGGTATTTTGTGGTGGGTGGCAGCCTGATCAGACTCCACCCTATCTAGGATACCACCTGTACCTTGGATACAGCATTAATCTCCAGGTTATACAAAGAACTCAAAAAATTCAACACCAAATAATAATAATGATAAGCTAATCAGCAAATGGGCAAAGGATTCGAACAGGCACTTAACAGAAGAAATACAAGTGGTCAACAAATATATGAAAAAAATGTTCAACATCTCTAGCAATTAGAGAAATACTAATTAAAACACACTGAGATTCCATCTTACTCTAATCAGAATGGCAATTATTAAGAATATAAGTAACAACAAATATTGGTGAGGATGTGGGTAGAAAGGTTCATTCATACATTGTTGGTGGAATTGCAAATAGGTGCTACCACTCTGGAAAGTAGTATGGAGATTCCTTAGAAAACCTGGAATGGAATCACCATTTGACCCAGTTATCTCACTCCTTGGTCTGTACCTAAAGGACTTAAAATCAGCATACTACAGTGACACAGCCATTTCAATATTTATGGCAACTCAATTTACAATACCCAAGCTATGGAAGCAACCTAGGTATCCTTCAATGAATGAATAGATAAAGAAAATGTGGTATTTACACACAGTGGACTATTACTGAGCCATAAAGAAGAATTAAATTGTTGCATTTGCCAGTAAATGGATGGAACTGGAGAATATCATGCTAAGTGAAATAAACCCACCCCCCAAAACCAAAGGGCAAATGTTCTCTCTGATATATGGATACTAACCCACAACAAGGAAGGGTAGGGTGGAGAAGAAAAGAAGTCCACTGATTAAACAAGGGAAATGAAGGGAAGGAATGGGAGGGGTATAGGGAGGACAGTAGAATTAACTGGACATAACTTTCCTAGCCTTGTATTTGAATACATGACCAGGTTAACTCAGCATTATGTACAACCATAGGATCCTAATTAGTATAGGTTACACTCCATGTATGTATACTATGCCAAATTACATTCTACTGTCATATATGACTAAAATAAATGAGCAAATAAATAAATAAAATTTTAAAAAATTAAAATAAATACACATTCCATGTACTTTCTGCCTCCCCTCTTCTACACCCCCTACACTCTGTTCTGCTTATTCTTTTCTCCATATTTCTTATGTTTTAAAATATTTACATATTTTTTATTCTTATTATTTACTGTCCAGAATGTAAGCTCCCTGAGGACAGAGGTCATTGTTCTATTCAAAACTACCGCCAAGTTCTGAGACTAGTAATGGAAAGATGGCAAATGCTCAAAACACATTTGTTAAATTTACTAATGAACAAATATATGATTTTGAAGTGATATTAAAATTTTCAGGTTGACAATGTAGCACTGAACAAAATAAGATGAAAATTATTAAACAGTTATTTTAGGCACAACTACTAATTATAAGCAATTTTAAGTTACATGATTTGTAATTTTGCTGGAAAAAATGTTTCAGTTCAATGAAACAACACATTAATTATCTATAAAATATGCAGATTAATATTTCATATTTTTCTCTAGATTGTTGCTTGTGAATTGCTACCAATATGAAAAGGTTCCTGTGGCTATCCTGCATGGTACATTTAAATGAATAGTGAATTTTTAACAGTTATCAGAGCTCCATGGTCCCCTACTATCTCCAGCTTCATTTAAAAGATGCTATTAACAGCCCATATCTTAAAAATATTTTAGCTGCACTGTTTTTATACATTAAAATATGGTTTGTTTTATAAATTTCACATGCTATCTCTAATTGGATATGCTTGGGAAAGGAAGCATGAAGATGAATAAAGAATCATCAGGTTCCAATGAATCACTGGGCCTTAGAACTCAGTGGGAAAAAAATGTTTTCATAGACCACATACACAAAAAAACTTCAGATTAGATTTCCATTTCAAAGCACTGGCCAAGTGAGGAAATGACATAAAATATATTAATAAACAATATGTAATCTTCTGGGCACATGCATTTCAAAAGTGCTACCAGGAGAGGACAAAATGTACCCTGATTATCAAGTTCACTTTCTGATTCACTGCTGTGCATGAACCCACAGAGCGTTACCAGTACAGAATGAGGTCACTTCTCCAAATCCTTTCAGAGAAAATAGAATTTTTTTACTTGCTTCTTTTTGTAATATGCACAAGTCATTTCCTGACTTGATTTAAAACACTGTGACAGAACAAATTAAATTGTTTTGCTTGCATAATTAATTGTCCTGTTGTAATTTAATTCATCATAATTTCAAAGCACTAACTTTTCATAGCATTATCTTTTAACTCAAATTATTATTTAAATTCAACATAGGGATCCAAAGTTTTAAGCTTTTTAAAACACCTATAAGAAGACCCTTGAATTAAATGACATATAAAACTTATAATACCATGTCTGCCTCCTCATACAGATACAGATAAAGTGCCTTTTTATTATTTTAAAAAGTTCTCAGAATTAAAATGTAGGAAATTTTTCTTTCTCTTTGGTATTGGGGATTGAATCTAGGAGTGCTTAACCACTGAGCTGCATCCCAGTGCTCTCCTTTTAAAAAAATATTTTTGTTTTACACACAGGGTCTCATTAAGTTGCTTTAGGTCCTCACTACGTTGCTGAGGCTACTTTGAACTTTTGATCCTCCTGCCTCAGCCTCCCAAGCTGCTAGGATTACAGGTGTGTGACACCACACCTAGCTAGGGAGTTTCTCTGTTCTTTTGATCCAGTGCTAGTCATTTGGGATATACACACACTGCCCAACGAATTACTAAGAATTACTCGATTTCATTATTTAAAAAATGTATTTATATAGGAGAAATACATGATAAGTATTTGAGGTGATGGATATATTAGTTAGAAAGATTCTCAATCTACACTGTGTACATTTATCTCAGCATCATGTTGAACCCATCAATACACACAATAATACTCAATAAATGTTTTTAAAAATAAATACAAATTATAATGCTTTCGAGGGATGTCATTTCTATCCATTAAAATTGGCAACATGTTAAAAATGGATAATCAACATTTTTTGCCTGGGTGTGGGAAAAAGTCACCCTTCATTGTAAAAAGGCATTATCTTACCTATGTGCACAAAAACAAGGCCTGCTCATTTGTGAATGTGAATGAAAACTTCAAAAAGTCAAGACAAGGAAGTGAAAAAGACAGCAACTAAAAATAATTAAAAATATTGAGAAGACAAAGTGGTACAGCAAGGACAGGGAGCCTGTGAGAGCAGAGACTTCATCACTAGTAGTGAAAATGCAAGTTACTTGGGCACATAGTGATTTTCAGCCAGTATGGTACAATAGTTGTAAACATAGGACTCACTGGAGTTGTGTTGTTTTGATCTGAAAGCCAGGCCTGACAACACTTTTCTTTTCTTTTCTTTTCTTTCCTTTTCTTTCTATCCTTCCTTCCTTCCTTCCTTCCTTCCTTCCTTCCTTCCTTCCTTTCTTTCCTTCTTTCTTTCTTTTTTTATTTGTGGCTAAAATCCTTGGATAAACTGCTTAAAGATGTGATTCTTCAGATTTCTTGCCTATGTATTGGAACTATCATAAATAAGAGGTCATGTTACAGAGTTAGAGTGAAGAATATACAAGTTTACATGTAAAACCCCTTAAAAGCTTGGAACATGAACAAACGATGTCAGCTATCTTTATTAATGAATATTTCATATTGATACATCCATTGTCTCATCTGAATTAATCTCCTAGTTAGCTTATGAGGTATATATTATGGTACTCTTTCTGAATTAAGATTTCAGAAGTTAATTTGCTATGTAACCAACCTGAGGTCACAAATGCTGCATACATACTAAAATTGCCTGATTAATAATGCCTGTCTGACTGCAGAGTTTGTGAGGTCTAGTGCCACATCACTGCTTTGTTAACAAAATAAAACTCTCCTTTGCTCCTCTGGTGCCTTAGAGGAAGTGATCCTTTTGCTGCAAATGACACATAACTCCGAGTTCTGCATCTAAGTGAGTATATTGGGACTTTTCATTGTTAGCACAGTAATTAAATGAGAAGTGTTATGACAAAAGAAAACAATCACGGAGTGCCTTTGCCATGGGGTTTAAGGTTTCATCTAGTGCAGCTTTAATGAGAGCCCTGTAAGGTGCACAAAGGGGTGACTGATATTCAAATCACAGGAATCCACTATAATTAAACCTTGTAATCAAAACATTGCTTACAAACTGTTTCCATAAACTGGTGTGCCCAAGAAGGATTTAAAAAAAAAGAGTTTGAATATCTTGTGAATTATGTTAATAAAAATGCTAATGCTCAATATTGAATGAAAACAAAATATGTACATTACAAGTATGTTTTTTAAGGATTAAAGTAATGTCTATGTCATTTCCCTTGTTTATGTCTATGGTACATAAAAATTTCCCTAAATGCAGATGCTTCTTCACTGTGGTCCCATTTCACTTTGTACTTTAGTTCCTTTTACTGAACTTAAACGTTTTTTAGTTAGTCAGTCTATAGTGATTTTTCTGCCTCTATTTTTAATTCCATATAACATTTCTGAAAGGGACAACTACCACCAAAATAAATTGATATGCAAGCAACTCAGCCCGAGTTCATCGCCTGTGGTGTGCAAAATACCAATGAGTAAATGCTTATCCACGGGTGGTTGGATGACCTAGATGGGCCCTGGACTTCTTTCACTAAAGTCTAGGATTACATGCACACTTAAGTCTTTACTTGCCAGGAATGCTGACACTACTAGCCTGCTGTGGATGATATCATCTATCCTAACACACAACATATATGGGAGAAAAAGGATGCAACCGTCCTTTGTCATTTTCTGATGACACAAGGGGTATTATACCAATTACTTCACTCTTTGCTTGTCCCCATCCTCATAGCCATAAAATCGTTCTTGCCATAGACTTTTGCTCATTATAGAAATTGTCACTTTTATTTCCTGTTCGAGTCTTTCTATTCTTTCTTGACAATGTTTTTTTTTTTTTTTTCCAAGAACTGTTTTGATTTTAAAGTCCTCCTTTCCCATCGGTCACTTTTTTACTAGCTAAATATATATTGCATGACAAAAACCAATTACAAAGCCACTATTTATCAGGAGAGACTCCTTGGAAGACCACTCTAAAGGGGAGCCTAAAAGGCCATCCTTATGTCACTGTTAACAAGTAATATACTAAAGTATGAGAAATTTGATAATAGATACATGGGACCTTTTCTTGTCAGTAAGTCTTACCAACCCCCAAACTACTGTGTTCAGTCTGTAATTCAACAGTCCCTCCAACCCTACCCTTCTCAGGATCCTGTGCTTTGTCCTTCACGTCATATATCTCACATGCTCTAGATTCTTGTTGTTACCAGAGCACACAAACATTTGTATCTGGGCCTCTGGGGTGGTGGTGGTTATGATTCCAGTGAAGGAACCAGATAACAAACTGTGTAATTTTGTTACTTTACATAATTGGTTGTTTTATTCCAATACTTTGACTGTGAATGGAGGGCATAAATACAAGGCCATCGCTGAGGAGCAGCAGGATACTAGAGTGCTGGATGAAGCCCATCCTTGGCCAAAGGGAAGCCAATTGGCAGAATCTAAGGAATCATGTCCCTGAACATCAGGATTCCAAATGCCTGGCTCTCCCCAATACTCTGGATGCCTCCAATAAGTGAATGAACATGTCCTCCTATCTATCATCTGTATGAAGTCAGAAAGCTGAGGAGAGACAAATCACATAATACCCAGCACAGCAAGCCTAATTCTGTTCAGCCTTGCTCCTATAAAATATCATCCAAAACAAATGAGTTATCCATATTTTCTTTTATCATTTACCAGTAAATGCACCAGGATCACTATTTAGCTGCAGTGATGGCTTCTGAATACTGTAAGATATAGCAAATTATACAGATGACCACAAGACATTCACTTTGCCAAGGTGGTATTAGGGTATAATAGACTCACCTACCAACTGAAGAACTGCTTGATACAATTTCAAAATCACAAATCAAGTTGGCTATCTTGAAAAAGATTAAAATATTGGGTGAACTTAATCAGGCCAGTGATTTTATAGAATTAAACAGCTTAGCTAAAGATATTTGTTTTATTCCTCTGTAAACACTTGTTAGCAATCCATGTGCCCCCAATATTTTATTTCTTCAAGATGGAGTTTCTCTATGTAGGGCCTGCAGAAGGTGGCTCTTTATACAATTAATATTTCCACAATCTGATGAGAATTTCTGCCTAAAAATGGTAGAACAATCTATCTTTCTGCAGTTATGACTCTCACTGAAATCTACCCCTAGCTCATAATCTGTCAAGCAACAGCTCACTAGGATCTGAGCATCACAAAGTGTATACATTTTCACATAGCCCAGAGACACACTACTCTTGAGTCCCTTAAGGTATTATAGATGGCTAACTTGGGGGGTTTGAGGGAGTGTGCAAAAGAAATAGGAATTCCTCTGACCTCTCAGTAAAGTCCTAGGGAAATAATTTCTCCTAAATAAAGATATTTATATAATCTTGAATTATATACTATCCAAAAGAAGCTATAAAGCACTTAAAAATTCACTAAATATAAAATATTAACATCTTTACATATATTATTTCATTTTAAACTTTCAATAACCCTTCAAAGAAGATACTCCTATTACCATTTTTCAAATGGAAACTGAGATTATAAAAATTAAATTATCTGTTTTAAGTGACAGAGCCAAACATTTGAACCCAGTCTTCAAATCTTTTATCTGAAGATTGTGGTTATGGAATCCTATGCTGGCATGCTAGAATCCATGTCAGACAATTAGTTATAAAAATAATCTAATGTTGGTTTCTTCATCTGTAAAATGGAGCAAACATTAATACCTACATTTTTCATTTCCAACACAATTGACACTATAGGCTGTCCTGTGCATTGTAGAAATTTAGCAGCACTCCTGACCTCTGCCCATTAGATGCCATCACCATTAACAACAGCACTGTTTTGGCAAACACAGATGGTTCCAGACACTGTCAAATATCCCCTATGGCATAAATCATGCTGGCTGAGAAACACTGAACCAACTTGTAGGGAAGGGTTCATCAGTTAATACAAGAGAAGAATCTAGAAGTGTGTCTGGTACAGAATACTTAATGTTAGAAATGATTATGGGATGGTAACTTTGATGACAATGAGGATGATGATATATATGTGCACTTGACTAAAGTATGTGAGTATCTGATTTAGGTCTTATTTAGATGAGTGTAATTGAAGAAACTCATGAAAGAATTGAAAAAAGAAAATAACTATATTAAGGGACTTATAATCTTTAAGTGTTTTAGATTTATTCAAGCAAAATTTCTATAAGCTTATTACTCTTTTATTAGACAACAATATTTGACACATCAGATTGTATATTTAAGAAACCAAATAACTATTTATTTAGGTAATGTTAGCAGATGTCAGCATAGAACCAATACCCTACAAAATCTAAACCGGGATCTAAATGGACAGAATATCTATCTTTTCAAAGAACATTAGAAACACTATTTTTCCATAAACTAATCTTGAAATAAATTTGCACATGAATATCCAGCCACAAATTAATAAATTTACTAAATATTTAACAAATGTTTCAACTATAATAAACATGCTGAGATTATAAATTAAAATACAAAATTTGTCTTACCTAAAGTCTTAATAGGGTCAGAGTAATCAGAGTCAGTAAATTGTCCCATGACATTTGTGGCTCTAAATTTAAATCTATGAAGTAAAAAATAAAATTAAAAACAAACAATTTGCACATCACATGAATGAATAATTTAGCAAACAATTATGAAAACTGAATATTTTATTCAAGAGAAAATGAATTTGCAACATGTAATCTTAGAATTTAATTACCTTCAGGACAAATTATACTGAATCTATATGAGATGAATAATTATCCTGCACTTGGGCCTGTTGAGTTTGTGACTAAAAATTTGGTCAAACTCATGAAAAGTCAGAAGTTTAAGCAAATCACCTTCCTCATAGATTCATTTGGATGGAATGATTTAATATATATGAAAGTGTGTTTCACTAGGATACTTAATAAATATAAGGCATAATAACTTACATACCTCAACCAACTTTGAAAGTACTATTGAATCTGGTTATAGGATAATGTTAATTATAATGATAATACAAAACATGGCTTTTTCACATGTAAATAAGAAAAGTACTTCTTATTTCTGTGTGTGCACAGTTGTATTTGCCCACTTTTCTTTTTGCTTTGCTTTTACAATATTTGAAATAGGAGTTCATAACCCACTTGAATCAAATGTATGAAATATGATATGTCAAGAACTATGTAATGTTTTGAACAACTAATAATAAAAAATTTTTAAAAAGGTACAGAAGAAAATGAAGCCTAAAAATTACAGGATGATTTTATGATGTCACAGACAATTGAAATTTGTCTCATTTAAAAATGCAAGACACAGGGTATTTAAAATATAAAACCAACAAATTGAAATAATGATTTACTCCCTACCATTATCAAATTCTTATGATTTTATTTGTTATATGAAGAGTGTGTTTGGGAAACAAATATACAAAATAATAAATAAGAATAAATATAAAATTTTGTGGTACATTATTTTTAAGGCTATCACATGCTTGATGGGTAAAATTCAAGCAATAACCTAGAATTTAAACAAAGTAATTACAATTTCATACTAAATGTCAAAACATTACTTTTTTAGTTGCTTAATTTCTCTCACTTTTCTAAAGTTAACTTGGCCTAAGACATTTATAAGGAATTTATTATCCAGGTATGATGGTACAACTGTAATCCCAGCTACTATGAAGCCTGAAGCAGGAGGATCACAAGTTGTAGGCCAGCCTTGGCAACTTATTGAGACATTGTCTCAAAATACATAGGTCTGAGGATGTAGCTCAGAGGTAGAACATTTGCGGTACATGCATAAGACTCTGGGTTCAATCCCCAATACTTAAACAAAAAGAAAGAAAAAAATTTAATTATGCTTTAACTAGTAGGAAAAACTGAAAGAACTTGGTTTTTAAAAAATAATTCATAAGAAAAACTATATTTTGAAAATCAAATAAGGTGAAGTTGCTGCTTTTAAAAATTATAGTCATATGGGACTGGGGTTGTATCTCAGCAGTAGATTGCTTGCCTAGCATGTGCAAGGCACTGGGTTCAGTACTCAGCACCAAATAAAAATAAATAAATAAAATAAAGGTATTGTGTCCAACACAACTAAAAAATAAATATAAAAAATTACAGTCTTATAATAATCGATTCAATAGAATAAATCAATCAATAAATTTAACAAAGAACTTAATAAAGCCAAAATGTCAGCACTGATTTTAATATATTAAGTTATTAATGGCTACAAGATTCCAAAATAATAAAGTAATAAAGATTTCTATCAATCATTCAGATGTTTGGTATGATAAAAGCAGAGTTATTGCTAGGAGTGGCATACAGGGAAACCATTGTTAGTTGAGAATATGATAGTGTTTCTGAAAACCTGTACATAAGCATGCACCGTAAGATGAGTGAAAGACACATTAGTCACATTGTCCTCCACCAAACAAATTAAATTCCTCTACCTATTTATGCTCTCCAATACCATATTTTCATATTACTTTTATGTAACTTATCACATCAAAGCCTAATTTCTTTCAGATTTTCATGACTCCCATATAATACTACATATTTACAGAATGAAAAGAAAATGCCTTGTTAATCTTTCAATTTCCAGTGTCTAGAAGATCAGATCCACTCCACATACTGGATGTCCAGTGCTTACTGGAAAGACGAAATATGAGGAGATGGATGGATGAAAGATTCCTACAGACTTGCTGACAACATGTGCTTGACAGAAACTGTACTTACAAATACTGCTTTTTTGGTTTCAGAGGTCCATTGCAAATTTTGTCTTCATTGCCAGGAATCATACATGCATTATCAGCACCTATGACATAGATTTCTTCATTGCCACTGAACTTTGTCTTTCCTTCTATACATGGAGGGTTAGGGAAGCCTTCATTTGTAAAATATGGCCTTGCTTTATTAAAATATGCATCATACCACTTTGTTACATTTCCATCATGCTGAGCTATTTTCAGGAAAAAAAGAGAATAATGATTACAAGTAACATATGAATGCATTTCCACATTTATAAAGAGTGCTTTCATAATTACACTAGGGGAATCTAGATGCAACATCACTTGCTCTGTGAACAACTAGGGATGACATAGCTGATCTGCCTTGATAGACATGTAACCCTGTCCTGCTCCCTCACACAAATCTAAAGCATCATTATGAACAATGATTTCTCACATATAGAAAGAATGTCCTTCAGTCAAGGATCACCCTCTTCTACACACTTCAGAAGAAGTTATCATGATTCCACTTTGCCAAAATCAAAACAATTCTACCAGTGTGTGGATTAAGTAAATCATACACATTCTTTTTTGTGTGTATGATGTTGGGGATTGAACCCAGGTCCTTGTGCATGCAAGGCAAGCACTCTACCAACTGAGCTACATCCCCAGACCTAAAATACGCATTTAAAAATTCCTTTTCTCATTTTGGTAAAATATATTATGCATAAATAAATGGGTACTATAATGAGTGATAATATTAATAATTTATTCAACTTGAGTTGTGTGATACTGAAACTTCTTTAGCATTCAGGAATGCACACTGCACAATTTGACAAGAGATATTGACATCTGAGGATACCTCCTGTTTCTGCCACAAGCACTTGTACACTTTTGATTGGTCCGTGATCATCATTGTAATAACATATTGGCATTCTGATTGTAATTGTTGTTGAAGTCACAAGCAGTTTTCCTGTGGCATCATAAATAGGGGTTGGCTTGGTTTTTGGTCTTGCTGGAGCTTTAAATTAAAAAAAAATAAACATCACCATAAATGATTCTTTTGTTTCTAAACAGAAAAAAAGTTAAATTCTCATTTCATGCTGGTAATTTACAGATAAAGTGATGGAAAACATGAATAACAAATGAAACAGTTGTGTTTGGAAACAGCAGATATTTAGCAATTATCATCTTTTGGTGGTATAATTATGTATTTGAGACTTGCCTGAAATAATGGGGCCAGGTGTGATTTTTCAGGCATCTGACTCCTCTTCATATGTTAAAAAATTTTAGTTTATTTATGCTCTCACCCATATGTAAATTTCATAAATGCATAGAAATGTTTACATATAAATAACATTTTAGTGTAAGTTTTTCTTTTCTTTTACTTCCTTCAGCTGGTTCCTTGATTTCTCTTCTAGTCACAGCAACATCCCTCTTACAGTTAATCCATAGCAAACACCTGGCTGACAGCCTTCTATATTTGTCTTCACATTTATATAATCATATAGAAACATAAACTGTCCACAGTATGGCCTTTTCTCACTGTTTGCTTTTCCAAATAAGGTTATATCATGCAGTATGATTACCCCACATATTGCTTTACCCACTTCACCATGACTTGTATCTTTCTGAATCCCCGGTTCTTTTTTTACTTCTTTTTTTTTTTTAAATCTTTATTTTGTTTATTTATTTTCATGTGGTGCTGAGGATCGAACCTAGTGCCTCACATGTGTGAGGCAGGTGCTCTGCCACTGAGCCACAACCCCAGCCCCTAACTTATTCTTCTTAATGACTACTGTACATGGTAGAGCTGCATTACACGGACTCAACCACCCATTTTGTAATGGGAATTCACTTTTCCTCCAGTTTTGAATGCTTGTGGTAATAATTAAGCCTTGCACAGTTAGCTTTATTTATTTATCCTTTTATTTTCATAGAATAAATTCTCAAGTGTAGAATTTCTGGCAAATAACACATAGATTTATAACTTTAATAGATCTTTCCAGAAAAAATAATTTTGAGGGGGTAACGGGTATTGAACTCAGGGGAACTTGACCACTGAGCCACATCCCCAACCCTATTTTGTATTTTATTTAGAGACAGGATCTCACTGAGTTGCTTAGTGCCTTGCTTTTGCTGAAGCTGGCTTTGAACTTTCGATCCTCCTGCCTCAGCCTCGTGAGACACTAGAATTAGAAGTGTGTACCGTCGCACTCAGCTCCAGAATAATTTCTAAAAGTACCACAATAATTCACATTTCACTATTAATTCATACAAATATACCCCAAATCAATATTTCTAAGAGCTCTGTTTGTTTGATTTAATCTTACAGCTATATATATATATATATATATATATATATATATATATACACATACACACAGACATGTATATGTATGTGTGCACATGTATGCCCATACACATATGTGCTATTTGAGCATCAGTTAAGTTACTTAACCAAACTTCAATTTTCATATTTTTGAAGTCTTTTTAAAAAGCCTTTCAAGAATGGCATAAAATGAGTAATACTGTTTCTATTTTATAGGCTTATGTCACAGACCTAACAAAGATTAAGTATCAAGATTTTAATCAAATCTCTTGTTTTTACTTGATTCTCTTGTTCACTCTTTTAATTGCCAAGTTCAAATGATATTTTTTGTTTGTTTTGTAGTGTCTGGGATCAAACCCAGGCTTCATGCACACAAGGCAAGCAATCTACCACTGAGTAATAGCTTCAGCCTGCAAAATCCTCACCTGATGCATTAGTATGGTATTCTGACATATAAAAGTTAAAATGAGATTGGATGTTTAAGAGGTGTATTGGGGGAAATATGTGTGAAGAATAAAGGATCGGAGAGCAGGAGTTTGTAGCAAAAGATTTCAGACCACAGATCATGGGTATGACAACTGTAAAAAGCGGAATAGAAGGATGAATTTAGTAAAGAAGCTGGGGTTTCAGGGAATTTCAAACCCTCAGGTGGCTGCTGGAGAGATCCCAAGCAAAATTCCAGCTAGAGAAATCTAGTTTGGGGCATTACAACTACTTTAATGAGACTACTAATTCATTATTCCATGTTACCAATAAAATCATGCATATTACTAGAGAAAATTATTTCTTTAAGACTCTAACACTCCCACTATACTATTATAAATTTTCTAGACTAGTAGTAAGTCTCCCTGCCATAGGTAAGGAGTGAAAATCAGAATCACCTTGACATGGGAAGTTTTGTTAAAACCTAAAAATAATGAGTCTACTGCTATCTGTATGCTTGCACATCTATCTGCCACTAAATAATAGACAGAAATTAAGATGGCATGACTCATTCTCTTATCTGTGAAGTCATTTTGTGAAACAACTAATGGTTTTTAAGACATAATGTATTTCTATATTCCAAAGTACAGAATTTATCAATTAAAATCAATTAATACTTATAAGTAGTATTTTAGATATATTATTCATTGATTAAAAGATAAAATTTAAGGATTCCTCTAACAGTGAATATTTCTTATTCTTAATAGTACAAGTTTCCAGGTACTCTCTTAAGGCTTTTTCAAAGAGAATCTCTCTTAACCCTCACAACTATCTGTGAGGTAGGAAATGGAAAGCTCCATTTCACAGGCTTAAAGAGATTAAAAAACTTTCCCAAAGTCAAATAGATACCAAGTGGCCAATTCAGTATTCATTCTCAGGAGCCTAACCCCAAACCCTGGCAAATGCTGGCGCTTTTAATCACGTTCTCTACTTTTCCTACCAAAGACTGAGAAAAGTTACTTTTTGCTTTAGAAAGAAAAGTCATGGGTGGAATTCTCTTTAGGGTCCAAACACTTGAATTCCTTCATTGTTGTTTTTAATTTCTCTGTATTTTTTGTTGCAAATTTTTAGAGAGATGGCATAATCGATTGCTTGATTTCAGTTTGACTGACTGAATGGCCCTAAATTCCTCTAAGCAACCTTTCTTGGGTTTTGTGGGTCATTTTGGGGAGGAAAAACTTTAGTTATATCTTCTATAATATATAGTCACCAGGATAATGGATCAATTGATTTACTTTATAGCCAACATCATTAAGTTGATCGGTACACAATAAAAAAATCTGATTAACTGAAAAAAAATATGATAAATCAGTCAAGACTAAATAGAACTAGTCAAAGTCTAGACGGAGACAATTTGAACAAGTTAAATTCTTGATAAAAAGAAAATTCAGGCTATAAAATTTGTTTTTGAAAATTTTAAATTTATAGCAAAAGAAGTAGAAGATAAAAGGAGGGCATTCTTTTTAACATAGTAATTAATATCAGATAATTAGATTCTATTAATTAAATTCTACTATTCAGACAATTAAATTCTACCTTTAAATAAGCATGTGTTAAGTAATAATTTTTTGTAAATATCATTACTTAATATTATATTAATAATAAATGTCATTACTTAATACATGCTTGTTATATACATATGTATCCTTTAAATGCTTGGCTTATCTTTAATTCTTACGTGGAATTCAATTTATAATCACTCTTTGATAAAGAAAATAGCATTTTATATGAAGGCAGCTCATGTAGTACCTTTGATATCCATGGTTATCCTCATCTGAACTTTAGGCCCTGCACCAGCACTATTGATTGCATAAACCTAAAACAAAGAAACATTTTGTTACTATTATCAAGTTCTTTCTTATGTGTATGTATAACAGAACAAGGTGATATATAATTTTAAAATGATTTCTCTTTTAAAAACAATTGCCTGTAGCCTATTATATTTCTTGTAGCCACTCAAATGAATATAATATATATATAAGAAGAACTGGAATAAGAAAGTATTTCTTAAAAACTGATATGCTGGTACTAAGCCCTGAGAACAAAGGCAGAGATTTTAACAGCTCATTCACAGAGACCAGGAAGGACTGTGGCTTCCATTTGAACTCGGAGGAGGAGCAGCGGAAAAGCCACTCCATCTACACTCTCTCCATCTACTTTAACATCTGCTACTGCTCTCAGTAGCTAGGTAACTCTGGCCTCCTATAAGTCCACATTCAAGATCCCCCTTTTTTGCTTCTGAGATGAAATCCTATTCCTTCAACCTCCCGTTTTCCTGTATTAAATCATCCCTCTGAAAGTTGGCCTTTATGCCCTTCTTCACCCCTGCCCTGAAGTATCTGATGCTATAACCTGTGTAATGCAGCATATACACATAAAGCATTTCTGTTTGTATATTCAGAGAGTGATTTACACAAATGTGAAGGCTTTCAATTAACTCTGTGCTTAGGGAGCTGTGGAACTGGAATCTTCCTCCATTCACTTTAATCTTGCTATAAAATTAAAAAAAAAAAACTGTTCTTGGCCAACTTCATTGTACTTGGTAAACATAATTCAGTATATAATGTATCTATTGGAATTAATAAATTTTATACATTAGTGGCCCATCTTTTCATTCTATCAATATTTTGAAAATATTTTCATTGGATTATATATATATATATATATATATATATTTATATGATATGATAGTGTTGTAAATAAACCAAGTCCATGAGATATGGACTTAAAATGAATAAAGAAATATTTGCTGGTGTCTGTAAATTTAAAAAAGGAAGTATTTAAAATTAAAAGTGATGGCATGGTTCATTGTTTTTACTTCTTTTTCTTTCTTTCTTTCTTTTTGGTTGTTGATAGACCTTTATTTTATTTATTTATATGTGGTGCTGAGAATGGAACCCAGTGCCTCACACATGCCAGGTAAGTGCGCTACCGCTGAGACACTTCTTTTGTTTAAAGAAATAAAAACAGCCCCAGTCCTGTTTTTATTTCTTTATAGTACAAAATAATATATAAGTGAGATAATAAGTGAAAGAGTTGGACAGTGCTTCTCAAATAGCAGTGTGCAAAGAAATCATCTGTAAACCTTGCTAAATGCAAATATTTAGATTTTGCTTCAGTAGGTCAGTACAGGTGCCACCTTTACACATCTCTAACAAAAGGCAAGGTGTTAAAAATGCTTTATATTGTACTTTGCAAATAATGCAAAAACAGTGTTTGCAAACAGTTACAGGATTTTAAATATATTCTTTAATCATAAATTGATTATACTTTGTTTTAATTTCTGTTTTCTTTCTTACTCCCAATAGCCAAAACAGTTATAACAATAATTACCAACAACAAATATAAATATTTAATCTGCACAAAAATCCTATGAAGTTGTTCATTATTCCTATTACCCAGCTTTTACATAGGGAAACTGAGACATAGATGTCATATAAAGTTTCCAAGATACAGAATACAGCTTTGAATCCAGGTCAGTTAGTTCTCTTAATCACCATCCTTCCCCTAGTGGATCTTTTACAATGTGGTCCACTTCATGGCATGTACAACAATAATTTAACAAGATGGATTATATGAAGATATAAAATTAAGACATGGGAATGAATAAATATAAGGATGTATATTCATTTTATATACACACAAATTATTAAAATGTTCTCATAAACAAATTTACAAATAACTGATAGGAGGATTAATTTCTATGGTATTTATAGGTTTAGTGTGAAGTCTATGTTTTTAAAAGATGATTTTTTGCTGAACCAAATAACTCTATTTGAAATTCTGAGGCATGATACAAAAAAAGAAAGGATGAAACAAATTGTGTGTGTACATGCCTGTGTACATGTATATGAACTCACATATACATTTATGCTACACATAAACAGTTATTTCTGTTCTCTGCCTTTGAAATTTGCTTTTACATTTTCATTTATAATCACACATAAATGGTTTTCTTTGGGGGCCGAATTTTTTATTTATATTTTACTACTTTTCTACCTTCAATATGTATTTTCTTTCTCCTTTATTTCTAGATGTTTACTAATATTGTTCAAACTTCTCATTTATCTACATATTTTAATAGCACATGCTGGGGGCTCAGTTGGTAGAGTGCTTGCCTCGCATGCACAAGGCCCTGGGTTCAAAAAATAATAATAAGAAGAAGCACGTGCTGTGTTATAATAGAAAATAAGCAATGTTATTCCTCTACATCTACTTTACTCACAAAAAGATGTGGGAAATGCAAAACATACACAAACAGTATTTTTGAATGCTGACTTTGCATTTAGGCAAACAACTAAAAGTTATAGATGCTTACACTGATATTGTATGTATGTCCACCTTTTAGTCCTTCTAACATTGCAATGACAGATGTGTCTGTTTTCTGGATGATACTGAGGTTATGAATCTGAACAGCTGTGGGATCGTCTTCTCGGTAAACCAAAGCTTGGTATACTTGGATATTTCCATTAGGTTGAGAAGGAGGAAGGAATGTTAACTGAAATTTTGTAACTTCATCTGGTATCTTCTGAAATGTCATGTTGTTAGGTGGATCCTTGGGTGCTAAAATGAAATATATACAATTTAAAAAATTTTAATTTGTTCTTTTTGATATCCTTATGAAATTTATTTGCTTCAAATTTCTGTTTTTAAAGAGTATTATATGAATTATTTAAATCATAATTTATAGAAAACAGCAAAATGTACCATCAAATCACTGACAGTTGCAATTCATAGAAACTATAATGATGATCCAAGTTGTTTGCTTATTTATTTTGCCTTTCAAATGCATTTATTTTTATTTTTATGCAGAATATGTTTCTATGACTTTAAAACTATTTATTTATGGCAGTGCTAGAGATCAATCTTATTTTTTTATTTTAATAATAATATATAGTCCCATGTAACCTTCCCCTAGCTTTCCCTAGTGGTAACATCTTCCGTGACTGCAATTTAACATCAAACCAGAAAACCGATGTTGATATAATGTTGTTCACTAAATTACAGATCACATTTTTTTCCTTTTTTTTTCTTCAGTACTGAGGATTGAATTCAGGGCCTCACACATGATATGCAAGTGCTATACCACTGAGCTACATCCCCAGTCCTAGATGACAGATCTTATTCTGGTTTTACCATTGTTTCATGCTTTTGTGCGTGTGTGTATAATTCTATACAAATTTATCCAATGTATAGATTCTTTAATTGCCATCTCAAACAAGATATGAAACTACCCTATCATCTTTAAGAAATATGCTCCTATTATCCCCTTGTTCTTACACTACATTCCTCTCCAAAACACAATCTTTCTCCATCTCTATTGCTTTGTCATTTTGAGACAACAATGACATAATGATCTTGAGGCCCATGGGTGTTGCTAAATGTGTCAACAGGTCATACTCTTATATTCTCTCAGTGTTCCATTTCATGGATGTACCAGAGATTGTTTAGTCATGGAAGGACATTTGGGTTGTTTCTAATTTTTTATTACTAAAAAAAGGTATTAACATTCATGTATAGATGTTTTTTTAAAATTTTTATTGTTGGTTGTTCAAAACATTACATAGTTCTTGACATATCATATTTCACACTTTGATTCAAGTGGGTTATAAACTCCCATTTTTACCCCATATAAAGATTGCAGAATCACATCCACTGTTTTACATATTGCCATACTAGTGTCTGTTGTATTCTGCTGCCTTTCCTATCCTCTACTATCCTCCCTCCTCTCCCCTCCCCTCCCATCTTCTCTCTCTACCCCATTTACTTAATGTATAGATGTTTGAGTAAACATAAGTTATTGACTCTCTGTGGTCAATGTTCAAGAGTGTGGTTTCAGAGTCACATGGGAAATGCATTTGTATTTGTATAAGATACTGGAAAACTACTTTCCCATGTAGCTATATCATTTCACATTTCCACTAGCAATGTATCAGATGTTCAGTCTCTGCATCTTTGCCAGAACTTAATATTATCACTATTTTAAATATTATTGTTATGTTTTTAATAAAATTATGAGGCCTTTTATATCTCATCATGGCTTTAATTTGGATTTATCTAATGGTTAATAGCATTGAAAATATATTTTATATGTTTATTTGTCCACCATATCTACAGGGTGGTAAAATACTTGTTCATGTCTTTTGCTTATTTTCTAAGTGGATTTTTCAAGTGCTGAATTTTAAGAATTCTTTATATATCTTAAATATTTCAGGTTATTTTAGATAAATAAAAAGTAGCTTATCAGATGTTGGGGTTGTACGCTCAGTGGTGGAGTACTTGCCTAGCACACATGAGTCACTGGGTTCGATCTTCAGTACCACGTTAAAAAAAAAACTAAATAAA